GTCTAAAACGTATTTTAGGAATTTTTTCATTAAATTCCTCTTTAAACTTCATTAATTTAAAGAATACAATTTTGTACAAATAATTGAATGTTATGCTACTATTTATAAAAATAAAATCAGAAATCCATTAAAAGATAAGTTCTTTATCATTTTTTCAATTCACAAATGCACACTTGCATTGCCTACTAAGAAAGTTAGTACCGGTAGTCATCGGGTTAAAGTTTATAATCATTTCTTGTACTGGAGTTTTAGAAAATCATTAATAATTTCTTAATTATCATTCAATGACGTGACTGATGAAGACAGCAAATCAAAGGATCAGTATTTGAGAGAAGTCTCAAGAATACAGACAGATCCAACCCTACCTGGGATAAATGACAGCACCCGACTGGATCACTGGTGGAGAGAGGTTATGCCTTGCTATCCAGCTCTTGGGAAGGTAGTAAGAGCTTGTCTTAGTATATTCACTGGACCCAAAATAGAACAGTCATTTAGCGTTATGAATGACCTCATTGATGAAAAATCAAACAGGATGGCTGTGCAGACATATTCTTCATTTCAGAGTATAAAATATGATTTAAAAGCACAGAACACTAGCAGCCTTGGTCATTACCATAGGGAGGATGTCCTAAGGGATCCTGTGGACAAGAGTGTGTGCTACCACATGCAGACAGCCTATGGCAGATATGCTAAAAAACTGAGGGAGAGGAAAGAAGAAAAAAGCACTGCCAAATCCAGCTTATTCTAAACATGGATCAAAACAATCAGTGCACACAATTGCTGAAAACATTAAAAAAGCAATATGGTCAAAGAGGGGAACTAGCAAGAGAAAACGAAACAGTGAGGATGTTGAAAAACCAAGGAAGAAAAAGATCTAGTGTTGGTGTCACTGTCATAGCTGGTTTTCTCTTTCCTAAGCAGACTGTCTTGTTTTATTATTATAGAACTAAGAACTTTTACAGAATTTGCAGTGCATTCCATTGTATATGTATAATTTAGTGCTTTATTGATGGATTTGAAATCTTTGAAGTGGCATGGTTATAAGAAATATTCCTTTTGTGTTTTCTTCACTTCAGTATTGTGATAACTGATAATATTTTATACTGAATGAGCTCAAATTACAAGAAAAATATGGCTGATTGATAAGATATTTTGTAAACTGAATGAGTTTGATTTTACAATAAATATATGTCTGATTTATTTTTAGCAATGTTTTAATAATGAATCTATTCAATTTCATAATAGTGTGAACTGTTTAGTCTCAGTTGAATCATACACATTTCAAAAACACATATGCATGTAAGTTATAAAAGCATTACTTTATATAAGTTTTGACATCCAATAGTGAAAATTATGAATTCCAAAGAATGCACTCTTGAAAATTATCCATTAACTAGGGGAATCAGATTTGATATTTCTTGCATGTATTTGATAATCATTGATGTAAGAAAAATGGGGTAACTTGTTTAAGTGAATTTTAAGTACTAAAATGCATCAAAATGCAGGATTTTGGGTGCCCCCCCCCCTTTCTTGGCTTCGATTATTTTCAGGATTTTTAGGAAAGGGACACTTTCATCTCTGGTTAAGGTAGAAATTGATTCATTTAATGGTTGTGTATAGTGGCTTCGTTACTAGAACTAAGGTA